CACACACACACATATATATATATATATATATATATATATATATATATATATATATATATATATATATATATATATATATATAATTTTATAATATACTCAGCTATGTCTTCTTTGTTCTAGTGTCTGGTGACGGTGAGGCGGTGGGGTCCGAGTCAGTCTCTCACTCAACCTATGTTCAGTATGTCGAAGGGGATGGTTCCACGTATATACCGGCGAATGGCCAGATGTAAGTATCAAAATGTCGCATATGCATTGCCTCCACGTCATCCGCAGGACGTTTCGTGGTAATCACGTAACATTTAACACTTCGTAGGACATATCCTGTTTATGCTGTCGGCGAGACAGGATCAATGTATACTTCAGGTTCGAGTCAGTACTACACTCCAGCAACAACGCCAGTAACGTATGCACAGGTAATTATAAAACTTGATACTAAGTTATAATTATCAAAAGCCTCTTCAGATGCAAATTGTGCAATTATATTAAAATAATATAAATAATCAAAGTTGATTATGTGTTGTTACGTGTGCGTAAAATATTTTTATTTATGACAAATGTTTTTATTACGCTGAATTTTTTAACTTCAAGAATCTTCTAACTTTAACTAACAATTGTTATCATTTTTTTTTATTGCATAAATTATTTAAGGTCACAGGACAAGGCTCGAACACAACTACTGGACAATTATTATCACAGGGCAATGGCACATATTTGATTCAACAGAGTGTAGTAGACGGTGATCCGACTACTCATGCCCTCATGTCGGCGGCAGCCGCGCGCGCTAGCCCGCAAACGGAAACAGCGGTAAGATTGCATGTTTCACGGTTTCCTCCTCAGACTGCTTTCATTTCTTAGAAGCTGAGTAAACTAGTATCGATCATTGAATGATTAACGCGATACGACATGTATTTATGCCTTATATCTCTGCAGGCATGGGGATCTGTGCTCTGCATGATTGTATGGGGCATCAAAAAATTGCGTGCCAGATTTTATTACATGTATTTTAACAGAGAGAAATGATATTTTTTTACATTGTTACAATCTAATTTATACATTTCAATTAAAAGGGAAGTTTGCAAATATACTGTATAATGAAATGTCAATAAATCATAGTAGAAATCGACGAAATGTTTCTTTGTGAAGAAACAAGTAAAAGATATGGGATTTTTTATGTAATCTTTGAGAAAAATGATTTTTAGAGTATGAATGTAACGAGAGTTTTAACTTAATTATATTTGTAATTATAAATGTTTTAATATTTTTGCTGTAAATTTTTAAACTATTTTATTATCTATAGCATTAGTTGCCATGATATAATGTATACAACTTATTAAGTACAAAATTATACAACTTATTAAGTATAAAATTATAAATGTTAGTTACTCGAGGAAAGATAACATTACTCTCCTCTTAATTCGGGGGGTTAACGAGGTATCGGTGTATTGGGTTGTTCGATAGGAGACTGTGGTTAGCGGGGGTGGAGGGACGTACTTGATCAGCGGTAATTCAGGAGGTGCCACTGTCACCGTGGAAGAAGCAGCAGCCGCGGCTGCAAACATGACGCATGCCACTAGAGTCTCCCAGGCCACCGTAAGCTAAAGATCGATTCCTTAGCTTTTCTAGCGTACTAATCAGCATCGTTTTTTATTTTCTGGCATGTCTACTATTAATCATCGCTTTTAAGATATCGCTCTAGTAAACATTGTTATGCATAGTTTTAATTTCTGGAAATTAAATTACTATCATTTTCTTTTTTTCGTGAAACCTTTAGCGAGAAATATGACATGGTTATGCTATCAATAAATCAAAAAGAAAATATATCGCAACTGAACTATTTGCTACCTAGTATATAATTTTAGAAGCGCAACTTTGTTTTTTTTTAATAGTATAGCTACTCTTCATAAATACTCTTTACGTAAATATTCAATAAAATATTCAGATTGATTTTTTTTTTGTATATACTCTCAAACATATGTTTATAAAATGTGAATATTAATTGTACATGCATTGTTCTAAATAGGTACATTGGTTGCTAGAAAATTATGAAACTGCCGATGGTGTGTCCCTTCCAAGATCGACTCTTTACAATCACTATCTACGTCATTGTTCCGAAAACAAATTAGATCCTGTAAATGCAGCCAGTTTCGGGAAATTAATACGTTCAGTATTTTTGGGTTTAAGAACGAGACGTTTAGGAACTAGGTAAGAAGCTTTAATTATAATATATTATTTATAATTAATATATTATAATATATTATTATATTTTATTATAATATAAAAGATACTACAATATATATATATATATATATATATATATATATATATATATATATATATATATATATATAAAATTCGTTTGTAATATTTTTTCATCACATCGTTATTTCTATTACAGAGGAAATTCGAAATATCATTATTATGGGATTCGTGTCAAACCAAGCTCACCTTTAGTCATGTTGAATGAAGATGGAACATCGAGACAGCCGCAGAGCGCGAATTCTCAAACCAAACGATTTAAATTCGTCAATCAGAAACAAGAATCATCTTATGAAAATAATACACATACGAATACGAATATATCTTCTAATCCTTCTCCACCGCAGTATCATCAATATCTTGGTGAAGCGAGCGGTGCTATACCCGATTTTCCGGAAATTTTTATAAGTCATGATGCGTCTCTACCTGAAGATTGCACGCTGGAAGATATTGATACGTTTCGCAGCATATACAGAGAACATTGCGAAGCGTTCTTAGACGCAGTGCTAAATTTCGAATTCGCTACTGTAGAGAGCCTTTGGAGAGAATTCTGGCGCAGCCAGGACAATAATAATGGCGATGAGTGTGAAGAAGAGAAATATTTATCAAAGTAAGATGCGATAATATATTTATTCACATATATTCGTTTGACATAGTTATATTATGTAGAAATTAAATGCTAAGTTAGTTTTAAATTATTTATGTGTTGTGTGTGTACGTAAAGTGCTTAAACATATATAATGAACAATTTGTATCTTTCAGAACTAAACTATATCAGATGTGTAAGTGTACAGGAGTGCAAGATTTTATCAAAAAGGTGGATTATACCTTCTATCAAAATCTAGTCGAAGTATTAATGCCTAATGTATTACGACCGATACCAAGTATGTTATTATAAAACCCATTATTATTATATATATCCTGATTATAATATACATATTAAGTGATTTATTTGTTCTGGCAAGGTTCATTGACTCAGTCCATCCGAAACTTTGCGAAAGGGTTAGAATCTTGGTTACAGTCAGCAATGGCAGACTGCCCCGAGGAGATGACACAAATTAAGGTATCATTCAGAATATTTATTCAAATCAAAACTTGAATTTTCTATATTTAATTTGATATGTTAATTATATAATAACAAACTATACAATATATAAGTAAACTATAAATAATATATAACTATAAGTAATATATAACTATACAATATATATTATTTGTTGCAGTTAACTGCAGTATCAGCTTTTGCTCAAACTTTAAGGCGTTACACATCATTAAATCATCTAGCACAAGCCGCACGAGCCGTTCTCCAAAATTCTAGTCAAATCAATCAAATGTTAGCTGATTTGAATCGCGTTGATTTTCATAACGTACAAGAACAAGTAAGTTGATATCTCAAAGTATTTCTCTAAAGCACTTTTTCAACTTTAGTTTAATTAGTTAAAGTTTTTTTCTGTCTTAGATTGTTAAATAAGTCGGATTAATTAAATTTATATATGCATAGAAAAATATGTACTATACATATATGCCTGCTTTTCCAGGCATCCTGGGTATGTCAATGTGATTATGGGATGGTACAACGTCTGGAAGCGGACTTTAAAGTAACGTTACAGCAACAAAATTCTTTAGAAGATTGGGCAATCTGGTTAAAGGGAGTCGTAACACAAGTGCTGAAACCATTTGAGGAGAAGCCAACGTACGCTAAAGCAGCACGTCAATTTCTGCTGAAATGGTCATTTTATAGGTATATCTTTGTACTTTTCCTCACGTTGATAATTAAGTATTTTTATTTTGGCTTCAATTAAAATTCAATTTAATTTTGTATTTTTCAGTTCGATGGTTATTCGGGATCTCACTTTAAGGAGTGCGGCGAGTTTCGGGTCTTTCCATCTTATCAGATTACTTTATGATGAGTACATGTTTTATTTAATAGAGCATCAGGTAGCAATTGCAACCGGGACTACGCCAATAGCTGTAATGGGAGACGTTAGTATATTTCAATAAATATTTTTTCTTAATTCTCTTATATGATATAAATTATATGCATTTCTTTGTATAATTCTTTTCAGAAGTTTGACAATTTCTCTTTCCGGATCAAATTTATTCATATATCATAAAATTAGTGAAATCTTCCACATAGAAATAATTTTTGTTTCAGAAAAGTCAAAATTGTTCTTTAGTGGGCTTCGGAGCAACATCTAATGGAGGTAAATTCATAATATACAATTTACATAATATTACATAATATTACACAATATATTTTATTAACTGCTTGTACAACAATGTTATCAATTTATAAAAATTAACTTCAGATTGCACGACTTTCTTGAAAATCTGTATACTCAAGTTACATAAATTATTTTATTCAATTTAAATTACGAAATTACATTTCAGATGCGTCTAACGAAACCAAACGTATGAAGCTAAGCTAACTGCGTGCCTACGCCCTTTAGTTGATGAGTAAAGCAGTAGCACGAGAGAATGAGATACTAGCACGAAAGCATGCAGGCCTATTACTGAGGAGAACACACTAGTCTCGTAAATTATTATTTTATATAATGTCAAATTATACTACGACTTACAAGAGAAAACGAGCAAAAGAGAGAGAGAGAGAGAGAGAGAGAGAAAGGAAGAAAGAAAGAGAGGGAGAGAGAGGATTTTTGCACACGATGTATACAATTTTAAGTAAGTCTGTGTGATATAAGATATAGAAATGTATACTCCGCGAAGCCTTGTCTCGTAAAAGTTGTTTCATATACATCAATGACGATTTTTCTGCACCATAGCAATGTTGAAGCGAAAAATATAGTACGGTGCCTGACATGTTAAAACATGTCAATTTATTATTATGACAACAATATTTTATTTACTGTTATGAATGAAATATCGTTGATCTGACCACGTCACTGATGTGTGTGTATCAATTTTAATAAGTATTGGCGCAAATTAAAGGTATCGCTGGCACGATGTTTAGTACGTTAGTGTATCAGATCTAGTCGAAGACACCTTTGAAAAAAAAGTAAAAAAATAGTATATGGGACCATGAATTGTCATGCCCTCACTGGAACACGTACGAAGCCCACTCGAGCGTGTTTTCCACTATTGTTTTTTTGTTTATGTTATTTAACTGTCAATATGCATTTATTAAATGGTATGACTTTTTTATTTTACCATGAAATAAATTTAATAATTTACATGACAATTTTAACAATGCTAAAAGTACTGTTAAGATACGTTAAGAAAGTAAATGATTTACTACAATTTTTTATTGCATAATTTGCTAGTTTTTTAATTTTATTTTAAATGGTATTCTTATATCTAGTAAGATATATAAAATAATGACAATGATTTTAATAAATATCACTTAATGCTAAGTGCACATTAAAATACATATATCCGCTTTATGTATAAAGAGAACTACATTGAGTGGGCTTAAAAGTGAACAACAGTTTGTGCAAAGGAATATATGAGTATCGTGCAAAACATTGTGAAACGTTTACCTAGCATTCCGGTGCGAATCCCGGTTTGCACAAATTCGCGTACGCAACCAATTGCAAAAATCCGCCCTATCGACGGTACATGTCAAAAGTATTCCTACCAGAATAGAGGAAATTTAGATTGCCGTAACGATAAATAGAAACTTTTAAAGTTTACATATACCCGACATTCATATTTTTTAACGTAATCTATCGATTGAACATCGAGCTCTGGTATGGTGGTTTTGTTGAAGAGCTTTCTATTGCAGTCCGCTGCTATTCTCTCAGTATAATTAAACGGATAGTACAAAAATACTATTGAGAAGAAAGGAAAAGAGAGAGAAAAAAAGAGACGCAAACACGGAAGTCGTTTTAATTTACTGACAGAATATACAATATGCGTATATTCTTTACCTTGAATGTACATATGTCAGCTATGTAGCGGATAAATATACACACGATTGTTGAAGTTGAAGTAAAAACCGCAAAGTGCATATGATAGACAATGAGAGCATTTACAACTATGCATTTACTATATGCTCGACGTTTTTTAATCGGTTGAGGATCTGTCTACAATGAAAATATGTGTCGGTATATGTTTCGTATCCAATAGGCGCTTCACAAATAACTCTTTGTATTTTAAAAGTATTAGATGTAAGTCAAATGCGCCGAATGAGTTTCGTACATGTTGTGTTTGTTTCATTTGGATGACGGAAGTATTTAATGTGATGTAATATTTGTTTTCACAGTTATATCGCGCGGGTACTGTATATCTTTTGTGTATTACACGAATTTTTATTTGTTCATGTGTAAAGAATTAGATCGGTCCTTTTTTGTTTCATCAGACAAAAAATATATTTATAACGAATTATTTTATATATGAATTTTTTTATACGCATGCGCGTTCGAGGAGCAGCTTCTTGAACATCGAACATTAAGGGAGAGGTTAATCAAACTGATATATATATATATATATATATATATATATATATATATATATAATTTCGATTAATTATTTATATTGTAGTACCAAAGTAGTCATTTATCGCGTTCGTTTATTCACGATCGTTTTCTTTTTAAGTTTTATTACGTTGATTTATTTTAATTTATTTCGTGTGCGTTTATATAAAATCGCATTTCCGTAGTTACAATTTGCACAAATCGCAAAAGAAAGTAATCTTGGATTACATGGACAAGAGAAAATTTATTAATGTATATATATGTGAGACATATTTTCATATTTCTTATGAAAATTAGGAGCGATTAAAAACTTACAGTTTCAACGAAACTAAAATGCACCATCGCATAGTTTATCTCTCTTACTGATTTCTTTTTGTAACTTCAGTACGGTAAGATTTACTAACGCATCTTTATACTCTTTCACAAGTTCTTTTACTAATTTGTTACAAAAAGTATACATATATATAAAATGCAGGAAGAAAAAGATGTATATAACTGCGATTCATAATATGTATACGCGCGCATTTATCTATAGTTCATGTTATCTATGCTGTAAAAAATGTGCGCGTATGGTTATTACGGAACGCAGCCCATTAACAAAATCGCTTGTTAAAGATAGAATTTCTATCGTGTAGCCCAATATTACATTCTTTTCCTATGACACAAAAAATATGAGAAAAATGCTGAATTAGTATAATACACTTCACGAAGTGTTAATTACACATAACTATGGCAGTTATGGTATTCCTGCTTGGGTATAAGTTATAATTCGACACGTCGAGGAATACAGACGATGATAGACAACTGTTTATAACGATAGAATTCGGGAGATGAAACTGCTGCATTATAATGAACATCGCTATATGCAAAAAATAATGTAACATATACTTATCTATTCCTACTAAGAAGCTGCATACTAACTCGCACTTTACTTAATCCTCGACGGAGCTGTACACTTTCCTATAAGCAAACTGAACGTTTGGCAAAAATACTTGGTGCCTTTTATTTTATACAGAGGGTGGAACGTGAACATTTCTACACACTGAATCATACATCCTAATTGTACGAACATAAAGAACTTCATCCAGATCGTGCGACCAGTATCGCGTAAAATTGTGTACACTTATATATTGTGTTATGTATTATATTACTTAATGCATTTGTAGAAGAAAAACCCAGCGCAGTATTGTTAGCGTTAGAACAATAGTCGGTCGCTCATCTACTCGAAGTTAACGTTAACACTTGACCGACGTGCATTAATATGCTATTATATTGACCTCTTTGCGATGGGTAGCAGAAGATTTGTATAAATCAATACATTTTTATTGAATTATTTAATTATATGTACGTAGAAGTATGTACTCGGATAGAAATATTTCCTCTTACAAGTATAAACAGGAGGAAATATTTTATATTTTACGAAAGACGAAAACAAAAATGACGCCAGATATATAAAATTCTTAAAAAATGATATGATAATCTCATTTGTCACTGTAAAATAAACATTCTTAGGACCTCCGCACAAAAACATCCCCGTAACAAGTTACGTTAACTTGAAGAATATTGACCTATGTCAATGCACAAAGAAATCTGAAACGTAAGAAAGGACTTTCATAATGGATTTCTTTGTGCGTTGATATAAGTTTATTTCTAAGTTTATTTAACGTAACGTGTTATGAATGTTCTTGTGCGAAGGCCTAAGAATGTATTTTGAACTTAGGAGAGTTAAGAAAACTTAAGAAAACACATCGAAACATATTTTAACAATATTTACCAGAAACAGAGATGAAATCTATTATAAATGCCAAGCAATTGGTCAGTTGTTTTTTTAAATGAAAAAATAACATAAAAGAAATGTTTTTCATATAAAATATTGTATGTTAACAATTTTGAAATTCGTAGCATTATGCATGTTATTGACACCACTAGATAACAGAAATTAATAAATAAGAAATTGCGCACGGAAAAAACGAAACTTCGAGAAATTCAAAACTTGAGGTTCATTTAAATTAATATTTAAACTAACTTACAATAAACATTTACATAAATGCTAAAAATGCGCCTTGAGGGACAAAATAACTACATGTGTATATGCAGACATATGTGACTGGAAAACAGAACACGAATTTGTTTATTTCTTTAAATTTTTCTGTTATTCTGGTAATATACAAAATTTGACTAAAAATAGATTTATATACGTGGTCTGAGTAAGACGTAGGTTTACGTGTCGGTTGAGTGTTAAAGTTTTTTTTTTCGGGTGAAAAATGATGATGCTACAGAAAGCGTTTTGGGCAATATTCAGTTTTGCCTCTTTAGATTCAAAATCTTGTGTCTATGTCCCGTGAATGTTTTCTCTTCCAAACTGTTTGATTTATTTGGCAAGCGGTTGTGCGAAGAGAAGGGTACTAAAAAACTGGTCTCAATATCCCAAGCAGAACAGAATATCACAATGACGTAAAATTACAAAGAATAATCGAATCATGATTGAAAAGTAAATCTTTTTACTATCATGTTGATGTTATTGTAATTTTTTGTTCTATTTGGGGTCATATCGCGACACAAGTCGCAGAGTAGCGCGTCGTCGCTAACATTAGAACATATGCGTCTAATTTATTGTATAGGATTACTGCGTACTAGTCAAATATAAAAAAAAAGAGATAAAATTTGTTAGTGTTAAGTGGCAAGAAAAAAATAGGTATTGAGGACGAAAGAAAGAGAGAGAGAGAGAGAGAGAAAGGGAGAGGAGCAGGGAGAGAAAGATAAAGAAGGTATATCGCACAGTACATCGACCGCGAGCAGGATTAGGAAGTTTTTGTAACTGTAATGAGCTTATACGTGTAAAAATAAAACTTATCGTCGATACCTATGTGTACCTAGAGTATAAGGAACGGGCTTTACGGGCGATTCGCAGCGTTCTTGCGCCGCCGATGAAAATCCGAATGCGACAAGCGGAACGCGACTCCAGGTGCCCGGAGTGATGCACGCGGGCGAAATTGTGCCGCTTCTCAGTGGCATTAGGTGCATCTATCCGTTACCCTGTCGCATCGTGTTTGTACTACTTTAAGTTAGGATCGCTCCACGTAAATTTTACAACCGTCGCGAAAGATCGGCGGGCAAAAGTAGTCCGATAGATTGTACACAAGATCAAATACACATCGTGGTTTCCTATGTTGCGAGATAAGTAAACACGGCCTTAAATATTTCCGATTGTTCGACGGAGAGGGAAAGGTAATACTAGAGAATGCAAAAGAAAAATGAGAGAGAGAAAGAGAAGAAGTTGATATGTGGGAAGAAGGATCGTGCGATGCTCCGAAAGAGAACCGAAAGAAGCAAATAAGAGTAGAAGTATCATCGTTTTTCCTTGATAGAAAATATTTTGATACCTCCAGATTTGCACAAATCAAGTGTCATTTGTTACCGCTTGAATAACATCATTTTTACTGAACGCCGCTCAAAAAGAAAAAAAAAAAGATAAAGTAAAAAAGGTGACAGCAAACTTATATACAGATCGCGCGAAACGACATAAGAATCCCTAAGAGTCTGTGTGAATGTGCGGATCACGAGAAATAAATAATCTATGTTTAAAACTTGTAATCGTATCTCGATACCTTGTAGAACGCGAATGGTCCATTTCTCATCGTTTTTATCACCGAATATCACATACTACATCATTTTCACGATGAGACAACTTTATAAGAAACACTTTAGATTTTTTAATGTGCGAGCTAATTTCTCTATAATTTTTTTTATCGCTTATGCAAAACTCTTACAGTATAAATGAAGCTTATGTTTAAGATCAAATTATTGCGATGTATAGTTCGCCGGTTTAGTAGAAATTTATCGTAATCGCATTTTTTAATTTATATGACCTTTAATTTATCTTACATCAGGCGTTATGTATGTCTAAACTTATTATTACGTTGAAAGTATAATTTATTTAGCGCTCTAAGAACAATACAAGTATAATTTTCCAGGATTTTTCACGATTTTCAACTTCATATGCAAACTTACAAATTGTACAAGTAACTGCTGTTACAATATTAAGATATGCTTGACATCCAGTGTATTGCACATTAGACATTACAATTGAAATTTCTTTAATTCCGCTAGCTTTAGCTTTAAAACATTTCCGTGATCCTCGCAAATGTGTTGATTTATCTTATTGTCGTGATATTTTTATCGTGTTGCGATAATAAGATTTCAATCGCTGACAACGAAAGGCAAAGTTACATAACTGTGTATATACGATTGACGACTCACGATGCATGAGCCGTTGCCGTAAGTTGCACGTAACTAATAAAGACCTTTACCCGGCGGGATTACATGCCGCCAGATTAATACCACTTGCGTTATAGTATCAGCGCTTCCTAGTTACACTGCACTGTTAGGGTTAAATTGCACTGTTTGCATAATACACACGACATATCACTCGGTGATGTGCAACGATTTCATCACTCTTACTGTTCTTCATGATTTGACTATTGTAATTTCACTTGCGGCGACGAAATTGTAATCTAAACTGTCACGAGATTCGTTCGTTTCAACATTGTCTGAGATTTATGTTGATCTCACGATCTTCATGTGTATCGAAAGGGAAAAGAGCTGTAATGAATCTTTATTATCTATAATTGTTATTCATTCGCGCATTTTTCTGCCGTTTTCGCCTAAAAATAAAAATTTCCGCATTTACATTTAATGTAGCCAATCTCAGAGTGAAAGACATAAATTTATTTGGTTTCGTTGCACTTTCTTCCACGTTGTTATACAACGTAAAAATCAAAAGTATTCAGTATTTAGATCGGAGAGGAGGAGAGGAAGAAGGAAAAAAGGCACAATTGTAGGAAAGTGTAGAAAGTGTCGAAATAAAAAGAGTCGACTTAGTGGTATATCTTCGTTTTTTTACCGACATTTACTACACTTTCCCGTAATTTTCTTCTTGTCCCTGCCTCGCTGAGAATTTTCTCGTGGTGTTTTCAAACGCGATACTATGAAAAACTATATCGAAAATGTAGTAAATTCATGTACATTAACATATTAACATTAGCATAAACATGACTCATTGTTATTAACATTAGCTCAGACTCTGCATTTTTATCGGTGACAAAAAGGGAAATAACATACAAGATGATTATCTTGTTTTTGCGATAGAGGAGATACAAACTGGAAAATTTACAATTTCTTTTTTGTTATGCGTAACATTGTATGTTCCACGTGGAATAACTGCATATTTTGTTGAATGTCGCAACTCATTCAATGAGGTAACCTACTCACCGTTTCTCCTTCTTTTCTTCTCTTTCTTTCTCTTTCTCCCCACCACTCTGTAATGTCTTCTTACCACTTATCTTCCTGCAATAGCCAACCACTTATTATCATTAGCATCAGGATCGCACTTAGTTTTCTTGAGATCCCCGCAATGATTATTAATTCAATAAATTTTTTACTCAATGAATAACAGAGATCAATAATGTGTAAATTTTTACCAGTAATGGTAGGGTTATAAAGGTCATGTCATAGTGATCTTTTTTTTATTTTTTGTATCGTATCGATATATCAATGTTCATTCCGTTGAGTGAAATTCGCTGTTTCTCCTTGAAGCAAATATGAATTGTAAACGAAAAGAAAAAAAACATAAAGGAAATTAAGGAGCAGATTTACGTCATAATTCATTTAATTCCAGAGCTGGCGATCAAAAACACAGTTATGATTAAAACTGTTAAATAAGGAAGAAAAAAGGAATATAAATTATTCCAAGAGCGTTTAATCAATTTAATTAATGGCGAATCTCAGTAAACACAAAATATCATCCATATTACAATGGTAGCTCAATCATATGGTATATTATGTAACTGTTACTTTGTTATATAACAAAGTAACAGTTATGTAATATATCATATAATTGGGCTGACATTGGGCGCGTTCAGCGGAAAAAGCGCTCAGTGAGTAATCAACGATTATTGGTTCTTACTGTTAAATCTACTGATTCCTAAATCTAGACCAATTATATTAACGAATTGTTCAACTGTTGTGCAACTGTTGAGTTCGCTGAATGCATCCATTGTAACATCGATGATACTTTGTGTTTACTGGGATTCGATTGGAAGTATTTCTTCCTTCCTTCTTTATGTGTGTGTGTGTGATTGCAGACCTTATTTTTATGACTCTTTCACCATTAGTTAGATATGAGAATATGAGGAAAATAGTTAAGAGTATTCAAGATAATGAGGACAATTTTATGAAGGAAAGTCACAGGAAAATTAAGTTAAGAGTGCTCAAGATGATATGAGGGAGATTTTATGAGGGGAATAAAGCCTTGGAAAAATTCCAAGGTACGTTCCAAAAATCACAGGTCCGAACTGTTCGAAAACGTCTTAGGCCGGAACTCTCGATTGGAAGTACTAGTGCGCACCTGTGCACACAAAGGTCGATTCATAGTCCGTTCTTATATTTCCCCTCAGTGTTTAGAATTTTATTTTATATTTAAAATCATCTTATATTCATTTTTAGATGCTATCGAACCGTTGCACTGGTTACGGAGTATTCGAAAGCGAATTTAAGACAAACTTGAATATAAGAACGGACTATGAAATGGTCTTAACGTGCACTTGTGCGTACTAGTACTTCCAATCGAATTTGCCATAAGTGCAACCGTCAATTGTAATTTATATTTAAATACATCATTACTCAGATAGCAAAAGTTCGTAATAATTGTACTTAAATGTTGCCGAAACGATTTTGAGTGCTTTAATATCGTATTTAAAAAGCGAATAAATTTCGTCGATTTAAATTTATATATATTAATTAGATTAAAAATGCTGCATCATGTTTCTCGATAAGGAGAATTGTTAATTCTACAGTCACGCTTATCATTAGATACTGCTCTGACCATCACGCCACCACCACCATCATCGCTACCACCTCCACCGCCACCGATACCACCACCACCTGTTCACTCGTCAGAATCCGTTTGTTTGGTTCGGTTTCGACTTTGTTCATGCCTCATAATCCAGCGCGCGACAGTTTGACCGTTGCACTAGGAGGGTGCAACTCGAACGCACACTGATTGGAAAAGGATGGCGCCGGCGCTCAGCAAATTCACGAATAGACGCACCCTAGGCAGCGCAGTTACAGCTGGTGCGCTCATTATTTTGATACTGAAATACCGCAGCAAGAGACGAACGCAAAAATCAAGGTGAGTGCTTACCAGATACGCACATATACACACATACGCACTTGCCTCACGCTAGTTCACGCTAGTTGTTTTGTAATGAACATGTTCGCAGGAACCCGTGGCCTACCAACAATGACATCCAGTATGTTATCAAGGAGGTAAGAGTTTATAAGGAATTTGGTAAAACGAGCGTGGTGGGGGAAACCCATTATACATTAATTCGAATAATATATACATCATACATTATACATTAATCGATAAAAAATAATATAAATATTTCAATCAAATAATGAAATCAATGAAATATTCAATATTTTATATTGCTGAACAATGTGATAACTTGTAATGATATTGCTGGTTTAACTATTTACATACACATACACATACATATCTTTATGTTAATTATAACACTGCGTACAACCTTTTTAAAATCATGTGTGCTCACATATCTAATATAATTGGTAGATAGTAAAAACAGCTAAGATTATATTCTTTTTGTTCACACAGGAAAAGCCAAAAGGTCCCAAAGCACAAGTCGATGCTATCTTCTTCCGCAAAATTTTGCAATTGCTCAAGATCGGCATTCCTGGTATACTGTCACCAGAATTTGGTATGGTCTTTGTGGTAGCAGCCTCTTTGGTTGGCAAGACCTTGTGTGACTTATATTTGATTAAGAGAGCTACTCAGATAGAAACGTATGTAACATTTTTTATTTAGCAGTACTAAAGCAAATTTCATCTGATTAATATAAAATTTTATATTATTAGAGCAATTGTCAGCAAGAATGGACCATTATTCAAGAGATACTTAATTTCCTTCTTGTGTGTAGGGCCTGTGGTAAGTAACATTTATTGCTGAAAGATATACATGATATAAAAATGCACTAAATATCTTAATAAAGAAATTTCTTGCATTTAAATTGCTAAGCAATATAATTTTCTTACAAATTGGGAAAAATTACTGATGACTTTTTGTATGATTTATTTAGATAGCAGTCTTGAACAACATAATGAAGTACAGTTTAAGTGCATTAAAATTGAAGTTGCGTACAAATATAACACGTTATTTACTGGATCATTATCTTAAGTAAGTAGCCAATCTTAATTTTGCAGTAAATTCAGTTCCATATACACGTCAGTATCACAAGTGCGATCAACCATGCTCATTCATAAAACAACAAGGCCAAAGGTGATAAATTCATTATCAGTTACTTATATGTGTGTATTCTTGTATAGGCATACAAAATATTTTACACTGTTGTAGTGTGTGCAGTGTAGTATTTTACATAGTTGAATACTTAATGATCATGATAAGTCTTATGTGATACACTAATAATATTCCCAACAAATGAAGAAACTATATAACTTCATGTGTTACGACTATTGCTATTATGCTGAGGGTCTGTGTACATATAGAAATATGTTAACATATATGAAACATGTGTACATACAGAGATACAAAACTCTACATTTAAAAAATCTATGACTGAAATTTGTTTCCAGCAAAAGCTTTAAATATTAAAGTACAATATTCTTTTAGGGGCTTTACTTATTACAAAATGTGCAACTTGGACAATCGTATTTCAAACCCAGATCAACTCTTGACTACGGATGTTGATAAATTTTGTGATAGCTTTGTAAATCTTTATAGTAATATGACAAAACCCTTGTTAGACATTGGTCTTTATGTGTTTAAATTAGCTCCTGGTATCGGTGCACAGGTATGTATAACATATTTTTATCCTAACGCAGCAGTATATTAGTAATTAATGTTTTACTACATATAATGTTTTGTAGTCACCACTGATGATATTAACGTATCTGGTATTTGCTGGCTTTATTCTGACCAATATTCGCAAACCCATTGGACAAATGACAGTTAAAGAACAACGATTAGAAGGAGAATATCGTCACATCAACTCCCGATTGATCACTAACTCGGAAGAAATCGCATTCTATCAGGGAAACAACAGGGAAAAATTAACAATGTTAACTAGTTTCCACAAACTCGTAAGTTTATTTGTATTATTGAGTCAGTCGATAAGTTTTGTTCAATTTTCAAGTCAAATTTAATTTGATTGTATTCAAACAATGGAAATAAATTTTCCATTAACCAAGGAATCACCGTCGTGTTTCATTTTGACAACAAAACGTTATTAGTATTGTTGTCTCTGTTACATATATGTGATACTATCAATTAAAAACTAAATTGATTTTTTTAACTGACCTACATGACTATGCAAATACTTCATATCTATATAATTATGCAAATTTATTCTTATACTCCGGTTATTATTCATTTTGTTACAGACAAGTCATCTTCGTAAAGTCTTAGAATTCAAAACATTTATGGGAATCATAGATAACGTCGTTGCAAAATGTAAGATATGATTTTACATGATGCATATTGTTATAGACTAATTTTATTAACATTAAGTGCTTTCGTTTTACCGCTTGTTTATGCATTTTAATACTATTTTTATTTTATTTTACTAGATATCGCCACCGTGGTCGGTTTCTACGCGATCAGTGAACCCTTCTTCCAGGAGGATCATCCCATACTCTCCGGCTCGCCTGCTCACCGCTTCAACTCTTATTATACGTACGGCCGAATGATGGTTAGGATGGCCGAGGCGGTCGGCCGACTGATATTAGCTGGCAGAGAGCTCACACGGTTAGCTGGTCTCACGGCAAGAGTTACCGAGGTCAAACAGGTCCTTGACGATTTGAACGCTGGCAAGTACGAGAGAACGATGCTCACGGATAACAAGGACAATGTCGGCTTTCCCGGTGGCGGCAAGATTATACCGCGCGACAATATCATACGATTCGATCGTGTACCACTCGTTACGCCAAACGGAGACGTGCTCATTAGAGAATTAACTTTTGAGGTGAAGTCGGGTGTGAACGTCCTGGTTTGCGGTCCAAACGGTTGCGGCAAGAGTTCCATGTTCAGGATTCTTGGTGAAGTATGCACTTATATTCTTTGTACTACTCAAATATCGAGAAAGAACGCTATAGTGCATTTTTAAAATTTATTTTATAGTTGATACGATAATTCTAACTATTGCTATTTACGTGATTTTCGTGATAAACCATAACTTTATGGTTTATTCTTTCATGATATCTCTAAGAACTAAATGCACTAATACTGGTTGACTCATCGTGGCTTCATTGATTATTTGTTTTTTTTTAGACTAGAGCTATTCTCATTTTATACAGTTCTGATTTACTATGTCGATACGATGAGCGTCAAGCAATTCCGTAATAATTATCTTTGTTAATTATTAATTTTACGAATTGTGATTTTTAGCTGTGGCCAGTCTGGTCTGGAAGCGTCACGAAACCACCGCGCGGTAAATTATTCTACATCCCGCAACGTCCTTACATGACGTTGGGCACCTTAAGGGACCAAGTCATTTATCCTCATACGAGAGCCGAAATGCAGAGGCGCGGTAACATCAATGACGATGATTTAAAAAAGTTTTTGGACTTGGTACAATTGACTCATCTATTGGACAGAGAGAATATTAGCAATAGTGAAGGACAGGGCTGGGACGCGATAGCTGATTGGATGGACGTTCTGTCGGGAGGCGAGAAACAACGTATTGCGGTGAGTTTCTCTATTTTCTTCAAATTGACGTCAGCCTTTTTATCGATCAAGCATTAAACCAAGATCGTATCGACCAAGTTGTTTTATTCATCATTAATTGTGGACTGCGTTCCGCTCGTATCCCTGCTAAAATCATCATTCAATCATCTTTGTGCGCACAACGTATAATAAATACGGAACTTCTGACGTCAAAGTAAGCTAAATGAACGCAATTTTCTATTAAATATGTAGAAACGAGCGCATATAAAACTGTAGTATTGTATCGAAGTGTGTATGTATAAAACTGTATATAAGAGGAATCGTTCAATACTTACTATTATTACTGTTGTATTATTTATATAGATGGCTCGACTGTTTTACCACAAACCGCAATTCGCGATCCTGGACGAGTGCACGAGCGCTGTGAGCGTAGACGTCGAGGGCTCTATGTACATGTATTGTAAAAAAGAGAATATTACATTGTTCACAGTCTCACATCGTCGCTCTCTCTGGAAACATCATGAGGTATTGTTGACTATCTCTTGCTCGTTTCAATCGATTCTTTGTAATTATAAAAATTTGTATGCGTGTAACTTTGATTTTATTTTATAATATCATTTTATAACTGTTTCCAGTACTGTTTACAAATGGACGGACGCGGAAGCTATGAATTCAAACCGATTGAACAGGACACGATAGAATTTGGGTCGTGAATTCTTGCGTCCCTTGCATACGTGAACAGCGCGATCGTGCAAGGGACATCTAATGTGTAGTTTCTATTGGTAATCTTAATAATAGATAAAATTTTTTGCGGGAAAACGATATAATGCTAACCTAACTCTCTGCTATTGCGTTTTTAACATAATCTCTAATATAATATCTGCTATTAACTCTGCTATTATGTTAAAATCTATTTGAACCACTTCTATTCTTAAAATGCAATAATCTCGTAGCTGTCCCAAACATTCTAGTGAATTTCATGACTATCAATTTTTTATTCGTGGGTAGGTATTTCAACGATACGAAAAAAATTTATGTAAATTACATTAAAACGTATAAGTTTATTTTAACTCGAACTACGCAAGAAGCAAATAAAACAGCAGGATTAGGTATGAATAATTAGGTCTATTTGTTTTTCAAGAACTTGCACTAGTGTAACAAGTTAAAGTGTAACTTAACATAAACCGAAATAATAGAACGCTCCTTTACAGAGTTAACTAATATTGAAATATTAATGGCACATAAGGAGCTAGCACTTTTATCCTCCCACAATCATATTAATATTAAAATTATATTAGTATTTAATAGCACTAAGACATCCGTGCTAGCTCCTTATGTGCCATTAATATTTCACTATTAGTGTAACTTAACAAACAAGTACACTTTCTTGCAGTCTAATTTATAGCACTGGTTCAGAGGTTTCTTTAAAAATGGACCTATTATCTCACGCTTTTTATATCGTACTAATATGCACATCACAAAGTAGCGGTTAACGACATAGTTACGCCATTATTCAATGCGTCATTGATTCCTTCATACATGAATAGTTACTTAAATTATGACGCACAATAATATATTTTTCTATCGATATTTTAATAAAATATATTCATATAATGTATTCATGAATGCACTTCGAGCTTCAAATGTATAACATTTAATACTTTAAAAAAAATTATTTTATATATCTTTAATTCTTCTTATATTACTGGTGTGTAAATATTTACATAAGTGTAAGTTTTTAATGCAAAAACTCTCGCTTAACTATTTAAAATTATAGTTGACTCACAAAGCGAAGACTTGCCACAAATTATCTGCTAGGTAAATTCACTAATATATTAGTACTGTATAACGGTTTCTAATCTCAAGATTTCTACAGTTTACGGAAAAATCTATCATATCATAAAAATTCATGTACGAATATATATGACAGATATTATTATAAGACTTATTGTATAAGATTGGGACAGTTGTTATAGTATGTTATATACGTGTGAATGGATACATCACGAGAAGTATAGAAAAAAATTGTTGGACAATAAGAATGTTATAAAGATGAAAGATTTATTGAGAGAAAAATATTCCCTCACTATAAATGATACTGTTTCACTTTGTTGATATAGCAAAAGAAAAATATGTACATCTATATATAATATATATATATATAATAATATACATACATATATATATATATATATATATATATATATATATATATATA